TCCCTTTTGATTGGTTCAAAATTTTTTTTTTTTTTTTTTTTTTTCTTCCATTGGCAACCCCCGGGGGGGTTCACCCCCACTGGGGTCCCAGCATTGCCGAAAATAAAAAGACGGTTCGTGGGTTAGAATCTTACATCATCTTGCCCACCAGCGTAACATTTTGATTGTGCTTGACTCAAAAACTGTACTTGTTTGGTATTTATTTATTTGTGTTCTTAAAACAAAATTAATGAGAAGTTCGAAAATAATCTTTATTTTTTGTGTTTAAATAATGATAAAATTAAAAATATTATTTTTTTATATTTATAAAAGCCAGTTATTTACAAATTATTTTTCCTAAAAATGGTTTTGATAAACAAAATTTTTAAAAAATGAAAACAAAAATCAGAAACAAAAGCATTTTGAGATAGCCTAACAATCCAATTTTTAATATGGGATGCAACCTTAACTCCCATTCAATTATCAAACTGAGACTTATGCCCCAACAATAGGGTTCCATGATACACAAACTATCAAATCGGTCAAATTAATTGATTTATCAATTTTTTTTTCAAATGTTATTGATGCACTGATGATAGTTTACAAATTTAATCAAACATAAGTTGATAATATATATTCTTACTTGATGCAAAATCAAGCAGAAGAAAAAAAAAAAAAAGTGAAAGTTTGGTGTCGGTTGGGAAGAGCTCATTTAGGCTCCTTTGGCTCTTTGAACCACAAAAAACAGAATAGTCTATTTGAGCCACAACAGACAAAACATCACATCCAACTCATAATCATTACACTCTTTTCTCACAAAAAAAGTCAAAAAAGTCAAAAAGCGTTTCCCCAACCAAGCTTTTGAGTCCAGACTCAAATAACTAAAAAAGTCAAAAAAATTAAAAAGCTAACCCACTTTCCGAAAAGAGGCTTTATATGCTCTCGATTTCATTGTGTACCCAACTGACAGGACTCACCCAAAATGAGTGATTTCAGTTCAAGATAGTGTTTGGTTTGATTTTTACAACGTGAGTTGGATGAAAAATTAAAAAAATTATTTGGTGAACGAATTTGTAAAATGTAATTTAAAACTTACTTTTCTCTCTCCTCTTTCTTTTTTATTTTTTATTTTTTTATAATATTATTATTAATAATAAATAAATCAATCAATTTTTCTCTCCCCTCTCTCCTCTCTCATTCTCTCATATTCTACATATTAATCAATCAAATTTTCTCTCACACCTATCTATTCAACTAAAAAAAAAAAAAATTATAAATTATTCAAAAATTATTTTTAAAACTCATTATCAAATAATTTTTTAACTTTTAAAA